GGTCCTGTTCTCCAGTGGCCCTGCCCCTTCGAAGCTTTACAGTGTAGCCCCTCCCACTTAGCTCTAGGTCCGCCTCTCAACTCTCCACCCATTCTTGCCCCTTCGAGGCAGCAACTCCACCCTGCTTTTCTTGATCCAGACCCCATTCACGTACTCACAGCCTTGGCCACACCTCTCTTCCTAGCCCCTCCGCTACTAGCTTTCCGGGCCCTGTCCCTCAGGTTTGGCTCCTCCCTCACCAGGATTCACTTTGCAGGCCCAACCCTTCCTCATATTTTCCCTGGGCCCCTCCCATGCTCACCTGGGGTGCAGACAGTTTCGCAGACCAGCGGGCAAAGGTAGCAGAACTGACAGTGCTGGGGGTTGGGGGATAGAGAGAATGAGCTTGGGGCGGAGTCAGGGGCGGAGTCAGGACGGGGGCGGGAACAGCCCAGGGGCCAGAGGCTTGATTAAGATTAAGATCGCAGTTAGCATTGGGTGTGGAGTCAAGGCTGAATCAGGCGTTCAGGTTGGGTTAGGTTGGGGTTAGGGGTTAGGGACCAGGATTTAGGGCTGGGGGTACCTAGACGTCCCGGGGCATCCTGAGGCCTGTTGGAGGGAGCCTTGAGTTAGGAGGGGGTGTCTCACCTGGCACTGGTCGCAGTGCTCCCCCATGTTCTCCTCATCACAGTGACAGCTCTCACATTCAGTGCACCTCTGGGGACCAGACGACCCTGGTTAGATGGAAACCCTAACCCCACCCCACTTGGGAGGCACCTGCCACTCATCCACCCCTACCCCTAGAAATTTTCCCAAACTCCTCACCCTCCAATACTGAGAGCTTGGTATCTTCACTCCAAAGCAGCTTCTCTCCCCTCTCTTGCCTGTTTTCCTAGCTCAGGGTGACCCATGTTCCCCGGTCATTGTGGCCTGGACTGTAGGTGCTTCTTACCACCTCTCTCCCCATTCTCTCTCAGCCTGTCAGGCTCCCTAGTCCCATCCCTCCTGCCCCCACCCTCTCTGCCACAGACCCTTGTCTCCACATCCCCAGGTGCTGCTCAAGTCTCATCCTATCTTTTCTGAACCATAGCCCCAGCCTCCTCCTCAGTCTCCTGGCTTCCAGTTTGTCCCTCACATGTCAGAATTATCTTCTTCACCTGGAACTGATCCTGCCCCTCCCTTTTGTTGAACTCTCCCATGGCACCCCAGGGTTCCTGGGACAAATTCCAGGGACAGCTTGCTGGGTGGATCTGCATTGGGAACCTACATTGCAGAAGGAGCAGTAGCCACACAGGGACCCTGGCTGGTAGTTCCCATATTCCTGGGCATCCTGTGAACCTGTGGGGACAGGAAGGCAGCAGTGACCTAGGCTGACTCCACCCCTCCCTTCCCCAAACTGGCCAGGCCATTACCTGTGTCTTCACTGCTCTCCTCCTCACTGGAGGTACCTCCAGCCACCTCCCTTCCAGCCAGTGGGTTGGGGATGATGGTGAAGGGGAGTTCATCTTCCTCCAGCCTCTTCTCCTCGTCCTCTTCCTCCTCCCTGTAGTCTTGGCTCACTGGGGCCCCGACTTTAACCTTCTCTTCTCTCCTTTCTTCTTCCTCCTCCTCCTTGTCTTCCTCTTCTTCTTCCTCCTCCTGGCTCAGGTTGAGGCCATGACCTTCCTCCTCATCCTCCTCATCCTTTCCTTGCTCTGAACCTGTGTTGTCTTCCTCTTGGGATCTGTAATCTTCCTTCTCCTTTTCCTCCTCCCTCAAATGGCTTCTGTCCTTGACTTCTGTGTGTTCTGGGGGCTGATAACTAATCTCTCTGATAGACCCTCTGTGACCAGGGCCATTACCTTCATCTCTGTGGCCTTGTTGCCTATCGCTAAGCTCACCAGAGATGTCTTCATCTTCCTCTCTGGGGACTTTATGGTGGTGATGACCAGGGACTTTTGTTTTATACTTATCTGGGATGTCCTCCTCCTCCTCATTACTCTCGTGGCTTTGGGGTGGGTGGCTTACAATATGGTGGCCAAAGTGGACAATTATCTCCTCCTCTTCCTCCTCCTTCTCATGTCCAAGTCCATGGTGGGCATGTCTGGGAGCTTGGTGCCAAAGTTTAGTAGATACATACTCATCTTCATCTTCCTCATCTCTGTGACCTGGGTGCCTGTGGTCAGGGACATGATGGTGGTGTTCATCTGAGACATCCTCATCCTCTTCCTCTCTGTAGTCTCGGTGCCTGTGGGCCTGGTGTCCATAATCAGTGGAGACATCATTATCATCATCATCATCTTCTTCATGGCCTCGGTGCTTATGACCAGGGACGTGATGGTGGTGTTCCTCTGATACATCCTCATCCTCTTCTTTCTCATGGCCTTGATGCTGGTGGACCTGGGGCTCATTCTCAATGGAGACATAATTATCTCCTTCATGGCCTGGGTGTCCATGGTCAAGGACATGATGCTGGTGTTCATCTGAGACATCCTCATCCTCTTCCTTCCAGTGGCTTTGATGCTTGTGAGCCTGGTGTCCATACTCAGGGGAGATGACGACTTCTTCTTCTTCTTTTTCTTCTTCTTCTTCTTCTTCTTCTTCTTCTTCTTCTTCTTCTTCTTCTTCTTCTTCTTCTTCTTCTTCTTCTTCTTCCTCTTCTTCTTCATGACCTCGATGTCTGTGGCTGGGGACATGATGCTGGTGTCCATCTGAGTTATCATCATTCTCTTCCTTCCAATGGCCTTGATGCCTGTGAGCCTGGTGTCCATACTCAGTAGAGACATCATCTTCATCATCATCATCTTGTTCTTCTTCATGACCTTGGTGGTGCCTGTGGCTTGGGACATGATGGAGGTAACCATCTGAGACATTCTCATCCTCTTCATTCCTGTGGCCTTGCTGCCCATGAGTCTGGTACCTATAATCCTCCTTCTCTTCCTCCTCTGCTCCTTCATAATCTTCTTCCCCTCTGTGGCTTTGGTGTACATGCCTGAGAATACGATGGTGATGCTCACTGGAGACAATTTCATCCTCCTCTTTGTCCTGGTGGCCCTGGCTCCTATGGCTGGGGAGGTGGTGCCCAGATTCCTCTGAGTCTTCCATGCCTTTGTTCCCAGGAACTCTGTGCCCATGGGCCTGCTGACTGTGCTCTGTCAGGATGGCCTTACCAGAGACATTCTCATCTCCAGCCTTGTGGCCTTGGTACCTGTGGCTTTGGAATTGGTGGCCATTTTCCCTGGAGACATCTTCATCCTCCTCACTGTGCTCTCTGTGGCTCCAGGAATGATGCCCATTCTCTCTGGAGACATCCTCATTCTCATCTTGATGTTCTCTATGGTTGTGGATGTGGTGGCCAAGCTCCGCGGACACATCCTTTGAAGGCTCAGTGACTCCTGCATTGTTGTTCCAATTGCTGAGGCCCAGCCCAGCCCCTCTCAGCTGCTGGGTCATGGCAGGGAGGAGGAGCAGGCTGGCCATGGCAGCCCAGAGGAGAGGCGTGTGCAGCCATGGCCCTTGGTGGCCCATGGGGACAGATAGGCAGCAGAGCTTCTCCCAGGGCTCACTCCAACTACCTTTGTGGCTACGTGGATGAATATTGGGGTCTTTGGCCCTTTGGGGCCTGTCTCTCTCTCTTTCTCTCTCGTCTCTCCTTCACTTTGTCTCTTTCAGTCTCTGTCTGTCTGCCTTCCTCTGGCCCTTGCTGCCCGGCTCTGGACACCCTTCTGAGGCTGTCCCTGGAGCCCCTTGACCCCCCTCTGGGGCCCTCCCTCCCCACTTCCAGCCAATAGGGCCTTTCTCCTCCCCTCTCTATGGCTAAATTTACTCTCAGCCCTGAGTTATTCTGGGCCAGTCCCCACCTGCCCCTCCCTTCTGCTCCTCTTCCTCCCAGATGGGGAGGGGTTGGGTGGAAGGGTCGCTCCCTGGCCAAGAGTCAGGGGCAAGGGACTTGACTTTGACCTGCCAACATGTTTGGCAGCTGCAGAGACAAAGGCTGTATAGACTTTCATTGGCCAAGTTAAGAGAGCCTAGGGAAACTTGGGGTTGGACATATTAGAGGGGAGAGACCCCTGCAATGATGGGACTGAGGGTTAGATTATGGGGAGTTTCCAGGCAGGATGGGATGCTTTGGTGAGAGAACGGATGCCAACATGGAGGCCCTGGAATGGGGCGAAGGGAGCCCTGCCCCCAACACTCATACCCATGACCTCCTGTCCCTCAGATCTGGGGGCAGGGGACAGGCCAGGCCAGGGCTATAAATACACTCAGGGTGGAAAGGGGGGGGTCAGGTTACGGAGGCCCCAGCTGTCCCCATCAGGAAGAGCTGGCAGGAGACATGTGGCCCTGGCTGTCTCTGTGTGTTAGTATCTCCCACTCCTCACCTGTCATAGTTACCCTCACTCTTTGGGTCTCTATCTCTTTTATGTGTCCCCTTCTTTATTTCTGTCTCCTGTCCTCTCAGGGTCCCTGTCCTTACTCCATGGGATTCTGTCTATCATTCTTCCTTTTCCCTCTCTCGCTCTGAGTGTCTGCTTACACCTGAGTCTTCATCTCACTCGGTGGGTCAGTATTCTATCCCCCCTCTTTAAATCCTGGTGATCTCCTTTCTGAATCTTTGCCCCTCACCCAACATCCGAGTCTTTGTGTCTCCTCTGCCATCCCGGTATCCCCCTCTGGGGATCTCTGTACCTTTCTTGGCGTCTCTGTCCTGCTCTCTGTGGATCTCTTTCCCCCTCTCTCTGGGTCTCTGTCCACCCCAGTCTCTATCCACCCTTTGCACCCCAACTAAGTCTTCTGGGTTTCTCTGGGTTAATGGACCCTTCCTCTCTGGGCCTCTGTTTCCTCCCACCCCTTCTGATTCTCTGTGCCCTTTAAGTCTTTGTCTCCCTCTCTCTCTGGGGTTAATGTATCCCCTCTCTCGTCTCTGACATCCCTCTTTTGGGTCTCTGATCACCACCTCCCCCGTGTCTGTCCCATTCTCTCTCTGGCCCTCTGAACATCCCACTCTGAGTTTCCTCCTCCACACCCTCCAAAGTGCCAGATCGCGGTCTCCCTTTGCCACTTTATCTCAGATTGGTCCCGCCCTTTCCCCCCGCCTCCCGCTTACGTGTACCCCCAGACTCTCCGCCCCCCAGACTTTGCCCCGCCCCAGGCGGGGCTGGAAAGTGGAGGATCCGGTTTATCCTGGGCCAGTCTGCAAGGGGGGTTGGTGGAGGCAGCGCCCAGAGCCCGGGAGCTGCCGAAGGTTGCGGCAGCTGCGGCAGCATGGTGGGTCCGGAGAAGGAGCAGGTACGGCACTGCGTCGGGAGCCTGGGTCCAGGTCTTCCAGACAGAAGGGAGCTGGAGACCCATATTCTCGGGTCAGACGAGGAGGGGGGCCGGGATTTCTGGGTCCCTGGGGACAGGTAAAACCGGGGGGCTGGGGGTCGAGACTCCTGAATCTGCGGGAGGAAGACGCTGGGGTTCTGGACTCCTGTGCCCGGGAGTAGAATAGGGAGTTGGTGACTGTGTGCCATGTGACTGAGCTGGGTCTCCCTCATCCACCACCTTCCATCCCGCCACTTGTTTCTGTCCCCAGAGCTGGATCCCTAAGATCTTCAAGAAGAAGACCTGCACGACGTTCATAGTTGACCCCATAGATACCGGGTGAGGAGTTTAGCCCGGGAACCCTGCAGGAACATCCCTGACCGCTGACCCTGCCCACCACAGGCCCCGCCCCCTTAATCCCCGCCCCCTTCCCCGTTCCAGGCCTTGCGGTCCTTTCCCAAGGGCGTTCCCGGTAGGCGCTCTCCCTCTGGGAAGGTTTGGGTCTGTTTAGACACCTCAGATTCGCCATTCTCCTGCTCAGGGTCAGTGTAAGAGCTCCAGGAGTAGGTTCTGTTTCTTTCCTTCCCTGTGTCTCTTCTGTGTGTCTCTATCTCTTTGTGTCACTCTTTTTCTCTTTTGCCTGTTTCATTCATTCATTCGTTCGTTCATTCATCCATGTGTGCAAGAACCCCTCATTAGTGCTCCCCTGTTCAGCCTAATTTAATGACTGCCAGCGTTCACATTTCACCTGGGACACATGCTGAGTGGCTTTGGATAAATCATTTCACTTCTCTGGGCCACTTTTGTCATCTGGGCATAAAAAAGGCCCAACCTTCTGGGATTATTCTGCGATTTAAACAAGTTAATGCTTGTGATATTTCTGGAACAGTGCCCAGCATATGGAAGCTTTGGAAAATATCTGCTATTCCCACTGGAAGGTAGCAATTATTACCTCATGTAGGCACTGTGCTGGTGGCCAGGGACACTGCCTGAGCTAGACAGGGTGTTTGCTGCCTTCCAGGAGCTCTGGCCTCCAGTGATGGTGTCTTAAGTGGATTTAGGCTTTTTAGTTGTTCTCAAGAAAGTCTTTGGGGTGTGGGAAGTTCAGTATTCCTAATTTAGTGTGTGTTTTGTTATGAATAATATATTTGTTAGTACAATACAGCCTGGAAATTATAAATAAACAGGTACAGGTTTGTTGGGTATGAGTGCTCAAAAACTTGTTACTGCCAGGCATGGTGGTGTGAACCTGTAGTCCCAGTTAACTCGAGAGGCTGAGACAGGAGGATTGCTTGGGTCTAGGGGTTCTGGGCTGTAGGGTACAATGATGATCATGTCCCTATACTAAGTTTGGCATCAATATAGTGACCTCCCAGGAGAGGGAGACCACCAGGTTGCCTAGGGAGTGGTGATCCAGAACAAGTGGATTGGAGCAGGTCCAAGGTCCCATGCTGATTGGTAGTGCAATTGCACCTGTGAATACTTACCGCATTCCAGCCTACAATGCACACAGTGAGACCCTCTTCTCTAAAAGAAAAAAATCACAATAACTTTTTACTGATGGTGGATATTGTCAAGGAAATTTAGGAACCTCTGGTTTAGCCAGAGAAGGAAGACATGCAGAGGACAACTATAGTAAGCGGAGGAAATGGCAGCTGCCAAGGACACACCACTAGGCCCTGTGGAAACTGAGAGGAGGCGTCTGCCTAAGATCTTGAGCTAATATGGGGTGTTACTAATGGTTTCTGGAGGAAAAGAAGGGTCAGTGGAGTGACTTTCAAAGGGTAAGTTGGGAGTGTGACATTGAAGGTGGGCTGGAGAGAGGCCCATGGAAAGTGATTCTGGGAATAGGAACAGCATGTGCAAAGGGCCCCCCCCATTGGCAATGTGTGGGCTTGAAAGTGGAGCAGCATTCAGGATGTAGGGAGCACTGTCAGGAGAGAGAAGGCTGCAGGGAAGGGCAGGGCCAGGACTCACAGGGCCTGAGAGGCCACTCTGAGGGGCTAAGACCTTGTTCAGGGTTGCTGGGGAACTAAAAAAGGGGTGTTGGATGTGCAAAACCCAGCACCCCTCTGGGGCTATGTGAGAATGAATAGGAGTTCAGGAAGCTAGGGAGGAGGCTATGTGGGGGGTTCAAGTGGGAGGGGACAAGGCCTGGCCAGGCCAGAGCTTTAGGGACACAGAGAAGAGGGGATGGGGCAAACATTCAGGGGGCAGAAGGGTGGAACTTGGGGACTGGTGGATGTTGAGGAATCAGAGGGCACTCCTATGGTCCTTTTAAGTGGTTCTTAAATCCACTCACTCTATTTACGTAAACGTGGAGCTAACTCTGCTGTGGATAGCTCTCAGACATGTGGCCTGGTGTCTGGGACACAGAAAAGTTAAGAACCCTGGAGGGTGAACAGATTTAGGAGGTGTTGCTGAGTGTGCATGGGACTTCCTGAGTATGAGAGGCTTAGGGGAGCCCAAGGACATGTAGAGACCCAGGTTGGGGACTCAGGGAAGGTTTGGAATTATGTCCAGGATGTGAGAAGTTCTAGCTGTAGACAGTCCTAGCTATGGAAATAGGTGAGACATCACATCCCAAGTAACCAGGGTTACAAATTGGCAATTCTATGGCCATTTTTTTGTCATAGAAGAGTATTTAAAAATACTTGTCTCTAGATACTTTAAGACAAATGCATAGGCTACAAATCACCACAGCCTCCAGCACATCCACTTATATTCTACCTGCTGCTTCTATTAGGTTACTGGCCTGATCCCTGCAAGTGTCAAGTTTGCGAACCATGTTAAGGAAGCCGGTGTGGTTTGGCTTGGGGAAGACAAAGAGAAAGCCACAAACAAGGCAGGGACAGAGCAGCCAGGGAGGGGAGGAAGGCCAAGAGGCCAGGCATACTCTGTCAAAGAAAAGCTATTTCAGAATCTGAGCCTTTCAATTGTGGCTAGTGCCACCTGTGATACAGTCAGATGATACCTGAATAGGGGCCATTGTATTTGGGGACATGCAGGGAGTTGCTGATCTTCTAAAGAACAATGTCAGTTTCAGCGATCACACTGAGAAAGAGCTTAGAAGGCGAGGGTTGCGGCAAGCTAACGCTCCAGAATGTTCCATCATGATGGCAATGTTCTGTCTTCACATCCTATATAGCAGCCACTGGCCATATGGAGCTTCTGGGAAGTGGCCTATATGCCTGAGGAACTGAATTTTTTTTTTTGCAGTTTTTGGCCGGGGCCGGGTTTGAACTCGCCACCTTCAGTATATGGTGTCGGCCCACTCCTTTGAGCCACAGGTGCCGCCCAGTGAGGAACTGAATTTTTAACTTGATTTAATTTTAACTTATTAAAATATAAACAGCCCCAGGGATATAAAGAACCCCACATAGCTACCATATTGGACAGTGCCAGCCCTGCACCATTCTTTGAAGAAGCTTTGCCAGGAAGAGCAAACTTCCCCAGAAGGAGCCACAAAAGTGGGAAGTAGCTGGAAGGGAGTGAGTGGGCTGAAGGATGGGTTTGAGATAGGTGAAAGGATAAAGTGGCTAAACTGAGGTGTGCCAGGGCTTAGAGTTAGATGCAGAAGGGAGGAGGGAATGCACCCTCATTGCAGTGCTCACTGTGCCAGGAGTGGGCTCGAGCATCTTCTGCTCACGCTGTGTGTGGATCAGTTGGCTGTTCTTTTAGTGTCTTCACAGTTTTTGCCAAATCCACATACCACCTGTATGCTCATTCCTGTAGAAGTGGTCCTTAAATCCACTCACTCTATTTACATAAACATGGATCTCCTCCAATTTCTGAATTCCTTCTATAATCGAGGACCAAAGTGATTTATTTACTTATTTATTTTATTTTGTTTATTTTATCTATTTACTTATTTTCGAGAAAGCCTCACTCTGTTGTCCTGGGTAGAGTGCTGTGGTATCATAGATCACTCCTTTGCCTCAGCCCTTGAGTAGCTGGGACTACAGACACCCACCACAAAGCTTGGCTAATTTTTCTATTTTTAGTAGAGACAAGGATCTTGCTCTTGCTCAGGCTGGTCTCGAACTCCTGAGCTCAAGCAATCCACCTGTCTCAGCCTCCCAGAGTGTTAGGATTATAAGCGTGAGCCACTGAGCATGGCCTATTTACTTATTTTAGAGATAGGTTCTTGCTCTGTCACCCAGGCTGGAGTGTGGTGGGACCATCATAGCTCACTGCAACCTCCAACTCCTGGGGGCAAGTGATCCCCTTGCCTCAGCTTCTTTTTTTTTCTTTGGTTGTGGTAATAAATAAAAAACGATGGTAAGATGCCATAAAGTAGGTGGCAATGCCTTAACTGTATGCGTGTTGTCAGTCCCGAGGGCCTCTTCCATCCTTGTCAAGGGGAGTGCTAACCTCTCCTTTCATATAACACAACCTCAGCTTCTTGAGTAGCTAGAACTACAGGCACACACTATACCTGGCCAATTTCTAAGTTTTTTTTGTAGATATGGGGTCTTGCTATGTTGCCAAGGTTGGTCCCAAACTCCTGGCCTCGAGTAATCCTCGGGCCTCAACTTCCGAAAGTGCTGGGATTCCACATGTGAGCTACTGTGCCAGGCCAAAGAGGGTTAGATACATTTTCAAATGCCTTCCTCATTCCTCGAACTCCGGTTACTCACTCATTGAAACTCAGGTGCCAATCATATTTAAAAGGAAGGGAGATTTGTACACTTAGGGGGAGAAAAATTCTCTCTGTCATTACCATAAAAGGAAAACCTGTTTCATGTGCCATAAAGAGAAAGAAACAAGCCATGGCAGAAAAATACAATGGAAAACAAAATGTTTACCTTCCAGTTGGATGGTGTCCCCACCCGCCCAATTTTGAGGGCCTGCAGCTGGCTTTTCTCTGTTTAAAAGAAAAGAAAGTGGGGTGGTACCTGTGGTTCAGTGAGTAAGGCGCCACCCTGTATACCGAGGGTTGCAGGTTCGAACCTGACCCTGGCTAAACTGCAACAAAAAAATAGCTGGGCATTGTGGCGGGTGCCTGTAGTCCCAGCTACTCGGGAGGCTGAGACAAGAGAATCGCCTAAGCCCAAGAGCTGGAGGTTGCTGTGAGCTGTGATGTTACAGCACTCTACCAAGGGCAACAAAGTGAGACTCTGTCTCTTAAAAAAAAAAAAAAAAAAGAAAGAAAAAAGAAAGAAAGTGAAGTAAAGGGTTAGGCATTTTAGATATAGCACCCAGCTGAGCCTCTCTCCCTGACAGTCATCAGGAGAACTGAAAAAGAAATGACTTTCTCACTGTGATATTCAAGGTTGTTTAAAGCTCTGTGTGAAGTTCAGGTGGAGGGGGCTCTCTGGGACTGGGACAATCCTTATTTCAGGAAACACCATGTCTTTCATTAGCTCCTCTGCTTCTATGGAGGAGGCTGTGCTATCACTATCTTTTCATTTGTGGAGGAAATTTAAGAGTAGTGAAGCCACTTGCCCAAAGCCACACAGCTGCTCTAGCCTCTAGCACATGAGCTCTCTGAATTACTCTTTGGACTGTCCTTTTCATGGTGAACAGCTTCTGTTTGCACTGGGGTCAGTGAGGGCACCCCCTGAAGGCTCTCTTTGCTTTTCCAGTTGAGGCCATGCAAATGACAGTGGGCCAGGGGGGAGGAGGGGAGGCCTGGGTCCTCCTTGCTCATGCTTTCATGAGCTGCCATGACCTCTTTCTGGTGGAGAAGGGGGGATGTTGCTGTCCTCTCCACAGGTCTCTCCCTTGAGGTGTCAGAGCCAGAGCCAGGGTCAGCATGGACTCTTGACTATATCTCTGGGGGTAGGGGTCAATGTAGACAGCTCCTACTGCAGAAGTATGGACACTTCTACAGGATGCTTGGGGTTGGTGAGGACAGCCCTGGGTTCATATGCCACCCTCACACCCCCAGAGGGACCTTTTGCCAGTGTGGGCGGCCTCGGAGTGCCCACTCATCAGTGGCTGTGGAGGATGCATTCGGGGCAGCCGTGGTGACCGTGTGGGACAGCGATGCACACACCACGGAGAAGCCCACTGATGCCTACGGGGAAGTGGACTTCCTGGGGGCCAGTCGCAAGCCCAGCAACGTGAGGCCTGCATGTCTGGGCAGGGCTGGGACATTGAGCAGGCCTGCATGCCTCAGGGGCTTCCAGGGTCAGGGGCTGGGGGTGCCCCAGCTGAACACTGTTTATTTGGTCATCCCTATCTTTGCCTCCCCCTGTCCCTTCCACCCCATCTGTCTTCTCTGAGTCTGTCCCTTCTCTCTGGGACTCTGTCTCTGTCTCTTTGGGTGTCTGTCCCCATCTCTCTGGGTCTCTGTCCCTGTCTTTCTGGGTCTCTATCACTGTCTCTCTGGGTCTCTGTCCCCATCTTGCCGGGTCTCTGTGCCCCTCCTCATGTCCCCCTTTCCTGTGTGTCCACAGTTCCTCCGGCTCTCTGACCGCACAGACCCAGCTACAGTTTATAGTCTGGTTACGCGCACATGGGGCTTCCGTGCCCCAAACCTGGTGGTGTCAGTGCTGGGGGGCTCAGGAGGCCCTGTTCTCCAGAGTTGGCTGCAGGACCTGCTGCGACGAGGGCTGGTGCGTGCTGCCCAGAGCACAGGTACTAAGGGAGAGTGGGGCTTGTGAGTCTGGACCCAACTGCCATTTCCCCCGTTTCCCTGGATGCTGTCTCCCCTCCCCCAGTCTGTGTGTGTCTTTGTCTTTGTGTTTCTCCCTCTGTCTCTACATGTCTCTCTGTTTCTGTGTAGGAGCCTGGATTGTCACTGGGGGGCTGCACACGGGCATCGGCCGGCATGTCGGTGTGGCTGTGAGGGATCACCAGACGGCCAACACTGGGGGCACCAAGGTGGTGGCCATGGGCGTGGCCCCCTGGGGTGTGGTCCGAAATAGAGACACTCTCACTAACCCCAAGGTGTGACCTAGGGTCTTGGAAAAGGAACGGGCTGGGGGCCAGGACTCCTGGGTCTAAGGGAGGAGGGGCTGGGGTCCAGGACCCCTAGGTCTGAGGGAGGAGGGGTTGGAGGCCAGACCCCTCAGTAGGAGGAGCTACTTGTGTCAGAACCTCCTGCCTCTGATGGAAAGACTTTCTGGTCTGGTCATTTGTTTTCAGGGCTCATTCCCTGCGAGCTATCGGTGGCGCGGTGACCCTGAGGATGGGGTCCAGTTTCCTCTTGACTACAACTACTCGGCCTTCTTCCTGGTGGATGATGGCACGGATGGCCGCCTGGGCGGTGAGAACCGCTTCCGCCTGCGCTTTGAGTCCTACATCGCACAGCAGAAGGCAGGCGTGGGAGGTGAGTGGCTTCCCGGACCCTCCACCGCCCCGCGCTCATGATCATTGCGGTCTGGTCTGGTTCCCTATGGTTAAGCGTTCTTTTCCTATCATTTTCTGTGTTTAAAAAAATCTTTATCTTGACATCCTTACATGCATGCAGAAAGATACAGGAAGATGGACAGCTTGATGAATTTTTCACACTCGAAACCCACTTATGCAATCAGCATCCACATCAAGAAAAAATAGTACTAGTCCCCAGAAATCTCCTCCCGTCCTCATCCAGAGGGCACTGCTATGCTGGGGAAAATGAACCAAAGCAAGAGCTGCTTTCTTTGTAAACATTTCTGTATTTAAAAAATTAACTTAATTCTTTAACTTTATTTAGATTTTAGGGAAATTTAACCTTATTTTTTAAATGATCATACAGTAAAATGGACTTTTTTGAGTGTACAGTTCTATGAACCTAACATATATATATAGATTCACATACCCACGACTGCAACCAGGATACATGCTAGTTCTGTAGCCACAAAGGAATTCCCTTTGTTCCCCTGACAATCGCTGATTTCTTTTCAATCATTACAGTTTTGTTTTTGCCAGAACGTCTTATAAACCGAATAGTACAGGGTGGCCATGCAGTTCAATTATAATGTGCAATTATAATGTGTAACTTTCGAGACTGGCTTCTTTCATTCAACATAAGATATTATGACAGCTTTTTGTACAATTATAAT